ACCGCGCAGCAGCAGTTCTGGTCGGCTCCAGGGCCCCGTGGCGCACCGGGCATTTTTTCTGGAAAAACTTCTCCCAGGGTCCGAAGGGCTGAGTCTACCGGGCAGGAAAAGCGCTCGGCGCCGGGAGGCTGCGACCATCCGGGAACTTGGCCGGGACGTGAGCCCTCCCCCTCGGCTCCCTGGCGCGCCCCCGGTCCCCCGCCCCGTCGCCACATGCGGCCGGCCGCGCGCGAGGCCACTCAGGGGATGCGGGCGTCCTGCATCCCTGTCCCTGTGCCCGGCCATCCCGGGAAGGGGCGTCCCACCCACCGAGGGCCCTTTCCGTGGGGCTCCTCGCTTCCTCTGCCTGAGGAAAAGCCCTCGCCCTTCCGAACGGATGCCTGCCACTCAAGTTCATTTTTCAAACGAAGTGAAAACCGAGTCTAGGAGGCCCGGAGTCTAGCAGTCTGGCTGCTGCTTCTGTGAGGATGGGGTCCTTTTCGACCGCACCCCCTCTGCACCCCACTTGGTCCTCAGAGCCCACGGGGTCCACCGTGGACGGGCCCCATCTGCAGAGTGCACTCCGATCCCAGAACGGGAGCTGCCACTCCACACCCTGGCCCGGCTGCACAGATGCCAGAATGTGCGCATGAGAAAACCACGAAACCGTAGTCCATGCCAGGACTCACACTCCTGAAGACCCCAGCCCCCCCCCCCCCCCCGTGAGTACACAGGATACAGAAAGGCCGGGATAGAGGCCCTGCACAGCCCAAGCCCCTAGGCTCCCCCTGACCCCTGCACATGTGTTAATGTTTATTTGAAAACAGTGCAAGAAAGTCCGTTGGTTCACTCCCCGACTGGCAGCAACAACCAGGTCTGAGCCACTAGAAGCACAGAGCCTTGGCACTCCATCTGGGTGCCCTGTGGTGGTGGCAGGGGCTCAGACACTCAAGTCATCTGTTTCTGCTTTCCCTGGGCACATTAGTAAGACACTGCGTAAGAGGTGGAACAATTGGAACTGGAACCCATGCTCATGTAGGGGACCGGCCTTGCAGACAGCCGCTTAACCCCGCAGGGCTGCAAATTTGACCCTACCTCATTCTTTTTGGGGGACTTTTTCAGTCTTCCTGTACATTGTATCACAATTCAACCAAATTCCTCATTGCTGTACATTATCTTTTAGAAGTTATCTTTTTAAAAAAATACAATATACATATATGCTCCTAAATGCCCCTCTATCTATATTCCAGTTTGTAGAAGTTGCCATCCCTACAGAAAAAAAAAGCAACTTCTACTAATTAAGTAGAAATGTGGGATCAAAGGCTTTGTACCTTTTGGTAGGTACTATCCACTGGTGTCTTAAATGTTAGTACCAGTCTACTGACAGTGGCATTTTATGGACCCTAAAATAGGTCGTTCTTGCAAACACATGCCCTTGCTAATTTATCGGGAAGCTGCATGAGCAGTGGTTAGGTGTTCGGACTCTTGATTGGCTGATCTTGTCTGTTCTTGACTCCTCAGTATCCTGACACCGTGGCTTGCCACGGGTAGCTTAAACCTTGGTCTCTGTGTCTCTCAATGGAGGTGATAACAGTAGTGCCCACTTGTATACGTTGTCTATGGCCGTGTGAAAAATTACCTTCAAGATGTAGTTTCTCCCAACAGAACACATTCGGAAGCTTGTGATATCAGTGGCTGAGGACTCAGCATGGGGTAGCTGCATGGTGTCGCTGTGTGGTGAGGCTGTGTGGTGTCGCTGTGTGGTGCCGCTATGTGGTGTCGCTGCGTGGTATCGCTGTGTGGTGTAACTGCGTGGTGTAGCTGCGTGGTGCCGCTGTGTGGTGTAGCTGCATGGTGTTGCTGTGTGGTGTGGCTGTGTGGTGTGGCTGTGTGTTGTAGCTGCGTGGTGCCGCTGTGTGGTGTGGCTGTGTGGTGTCGCTGTGTGGTGAGGCTGTGTGGTGCCGCTATGTGGTGTCGCTGCGTGGTATCGCTGTGTGGTGTAACTGCGTGGTGTAGCTGCGTGGTGCCGCTGTGTGGTGTAGCTGCATGGTGTTGGCTTGTGGTCTCTCATAAGGCTGCAGTCATCTCAAGGTGTGACGCATGAAGCTCCCTGGAGGCTCATGCCGGTGGTTGTTGGCTGGAGGCATCAGTGCTTTGTCATGTATCTCTGGGGCTGCTGCAGTGTGGCACCTGCTTGCCCAGAGGCCATGGGCAAAAGGAGCACCCTAGGTGGGAGCTTTGGTCTTTTCCCCACTTGTCTTGCAAGTGGCATCTTGTCCCTGTGCTGTGTTCTGCCCGTTAGCTGCAGGCACTCAGTGCAGCCCGTGGAGAGGGGAAGGGTGTTGAATAAGATGCCTGTGACAGCAGGCATAGATTGCTAAGCTCATCTTACAGACTTCCCACCTAGGGCTACACTAGGTGTTGAGTATGAAATCAAACACGTCACGGGAAATGGTGTTAACAGATAATTTTGTTTTGTTGAAAAAACTTATGATCCATACAGACAAGGTGTCTTTAAAAGGCCATGAATGGTAGGGGGAGGGACCAGTTTGATGGAATAGCACACTAAGCCTCTGCCTGAGGTGCCAGCATCCCGTACGGGTACCTGTTTGAGTCCCAGCTGCTTCACTTCCGATCCAGCTCCCTGCTTATGACCTGGGAAAGCAGCAGCGGATGGCTCGAGTCCTAGGGCCCCGGCACCCACATGGGAGACCTGGAAAAAGGAAAAGGAACTGGCATTGTGGCATGATGGTAAAGCTACCACCTGTGATGTACATATCCCACATGGTGCCATCGTGGCTGTACTCATGGCCCAGCTCTCTGCTGATGGCCTGGGAAAAGCAGCACCCAATGGCCCAAGTATTTGGGCCCCTGTCACCCATGTGGAAGACCTGAAAGAAACACTTGGCTTCAGCCTGACCCAGCTCTGGCTGTTGTGGTCATCTGGGGAGTGAATCAGTGAGTGGAAGATTCTCTGTGTGTGTATGTCCCTCTAATTCTCCCCACCCCGGTATAACTCTGACTTTCAAATAAATAAGTAATAAATCTGGAAACCCATGGAAAATGTGTTCTATGAAACAACTATATATGGACTTCAAAGTTTTTTGTACCAAAAAAACCTTGCATTTTAATTTCATTTTTCCATGAACTTTTTGAAGTACCTTGTATATGTGGTATCTGACTTTGGTATTATTGCTGTTGTGCTACCGCCACCAGCAGCACCCCCATTCCTCACTCTTGGTTTTGTATTTGCCTCATATCACATCAAGAATCAAGGAACAGTGGTGTTGTTTTAACCGTGGTTAGGACATCCACACCCCATGTCACAGTGCCTGGGCTTGAGTCCTGGCTCTCCTGATCTCAGTCTCCAGCTGAGGCACACCTTGGGAGTCAGGAGGTGGTAACGCAGTCTTTGGGTCCCTGCTGGTCATGGGGGAGACCCAGATTGAGTTCCAGGTTCCCGGTTTTGAACTGGCTGCTGTAAGGCATCTGGAGAGTAAACCAGTATGTGAGATCTCTTTGTTAGTGTCTGCATTTCAAATAAGATAACAATTAATTTTAAAATAATTTAAGAAGAATCGAAGAATGATATTTAAACCAAGTTGCTGTTTGTATGGTAAAGTGAGCACGGAGCCTTTTTCAAATGAAGTAATAATACCAGGAAGCCCGAAAGCCTGTTTCATCTGATGTGAGTGTAACTATTCCTACTCAGTGTTGACTTCCGTTTGCGGCTGTGTCTTTCTCCAGCCCTTCACTTTCAGAGCATGTGTACTTTTACTGACAATTCATTTTTATCCTCCTCTCCCTTCTCTTCCTTCATTTCTTCTTTCCTCCTCCCTTCCCTTCCTCTCTTCTTCCATCCCTCCCTTCTTCTCTGTCTCCTTCCCTTCTCTCTCTCTGTTCTTTCCTCCCTTCCTTTCCCTTCCCTTCCCTTCTTTCTCTTTTTTTTTTCTTTGCTTTTAAACAACAGTTTATTGAGGTATGCCGTACAGCCTGCCAATGCAGAGAATACAATTCCATGCCTTTTGCCTATTCACACATCTGTGCAAGCCCCACCACAATCAACCATGGGACATTTTCACTTTTCAAAATGGATTTCCTCTTAATGACAGTTTCCTGACGACCAAGCCCTTGGTTCTGTCTAAACGCCATTTTATAAGAAGGTGTGGTTTCTACTGTGATCATTTTCTGTCATTGCAATTGTTACCTATAGCTGAGATACTTGCTGCTGTGATTCCATGGGAGGTAGTGTGGAAGGGCCAGGTGCTGTGGCATAGTGGGGACAACCACTGTCTACAATGGCACTGCCCTTTAGGGTGCCAGTTCAACACCCAGCTGCTCCTCTTATGCTCCAGCTCCCTGTTGACGCACCTGGGCCCCCTCAGCTTTAACTTTCAATTAATTCCTTCTTTGAATTCAAGCCTTTTGAATATTTTATTATTATTATTATTATTATTAAAATGTATTTATTTTTATTGGAAAGACAGATATACAGAGAGGAGGAGAGACAGAGAGAAAGATCTTCCATCCTATGATTCACTCCCCAAGCAGCCACAATGGCCAGAACAGAGTCAATCCAAAGCCAGGAGCCTCTTCTAGGTCTCCCACACGGGTGCAGGGTCCCAAGGATTTGGGCCGACCTCAACTACTTTCCCAGGCCACAAGCTGGATGGGAAGCAGGGCCAACAGGATTAGAACCAGTGACCATATGGGATCCTGGTGTGTTCAAGGCGAGGACTTTAACTGCCACACTATTGCACTGGGCCCTATTTTTTTTTTCTTTTTCTTTTTCTTTTTTTTTTTTTTTTTTTTTTTGAGAGGCAGGCAGACAGTGAGCTCCCATCCGCTGACTGACTTCCCAAATGTTTGGAATGGCCAGAGCTGGGCCAGGAAAAGGTGAGAGTTGGGAACCTGCTCTAAGTCTTCCTTGTGGGTAGTAAGGAGCCCAGTGCCTTAAACTCATGCTGCCCAGGGTCTAAATTAGCAGGAAGCAGAAACAAGAATTTGAGGTGGGTACGGAATCCAGGTACCTCAACGTGGAACACACAGGGGGGTCACAAACACAAGACTGAACATGCCTCCTGCTGCCTATTTCTTATTCCCATGGTTTCTTGACAGTTTTCTTGAGTTATGATGGGGAAATTCTGTTTCCTTGGATATAAATTCCCCCACTTAGCTGCTCGCTAAGGCACTGGCCACCTCCTGCACTGTGTCATTTCTATGTGTGTGACCACCACATACAGTAGTAGTGGTATTCCTCTTTCCCAACTGGGCGGTTTTTCAGCCCAGGGGCCACAGTTTTAAATGCAGAAGTCACCCCTTTTCTGAACCCTTCTGGGGTTTGCACTGCAGCAGAGCTAGGGCTGCCAGAAGCTTGGGTACCAGTCACCGTTTGCCCGAGCCTATCCACTGCCACAAGCGTCCTGTTCCCCACAGGAGTCTCCATCCTCTTTTCCCAGCCATGGAAGGTCAGCTCTTCTCCTGGCTGCTGTGGGCACGTTTGGTCACTGTCATTAGTTAGAGTTGGAGTCCTGGCCTTGTGTTGCTGCTTGTGCAGGAGCCAGGGGCCTCACAGCTCCAAGCTCCTGTCTCTTCTCAACACAGCAAATGCTTCCTGGGAGGTGTGGACTGACTGTACACACACTCCATGCCCGTGACTCCTGTCCCTTGGCACTGACTACCAGTGCTAGGACACTGTGCTTCTACGGCATGACACAGGCACAGCCGCATCCGATGACTTAGTGCAGGGGCAGACCCTGAAGGGAACATCAGGGTGTGTGCTGGTTAGAGGCACCTGTGACAGAGCTGGCATGGGATCAACCTACCAAGGGTGCAGATGACAGCCCAGTCTCCTGCGCAGGGACCCCTCTCACATGGTGAGGGGCCCATAGGAGTCAGGGCTCTCCAGCGGTCCCACAGACTACTACCTGGCCTGGGCCTGGGGCAGATCTTCAGGGAACTGTCAGATCCTTTCTTCATCACACACTGGTTCTGAGATGATCGCCACTAACCATAGACTGATCTGGGACTTGAACCCCCTTGGCTTCCAGCCTTAACAGCACCAGCCCAGGGCAGGGGTGGCTCACATTAGATACCACCTCTGCCCTGTCCTGGAGCCTATCCCCACAGCACGCTGGGGCCCAGCAGTAGAGAACAGCTTGTGGTTACACACAGCCCTTTACTGGTCTCTATTTCAAGAGAGTAAATAAAAAATACACAAAACAGAAAAGACCAAAAATCCATATGTACAGACCCAGGCATGCAACAGAGCTCTGTCTCCTTGGGGTGATGGGGGTTCTGAGAAGGTGAGGAGCTGATCTCAAACCCAGAACAGGCCAGTCCAGCCACCTGCAGGACAGGCCCGATGTCAGATGGTATGGGCCACGCCTCAGTCAGAGTCGCAGGCCTCTTGCTTGGTGGTGGCGCCCACTGCAGAGGCTAGGCAATCCTCCTGGCCTTTCAGCCTTTCACGGATGAGCTAGGCGATGGGCCTCTGGGTGTGCTTCTCCAGCTTCTCCAGCTTCTCCAGCTTCTTGGCCACATCCCTTTTGATGTCCCAGTCAGGCTTCCGGGGGGCGAGGTTGGCCAGGTCCACTTCCTCTATGATGGGCTTTGGCTTGGCGGCCTCCAATTGCTCCAACACCTTCTCTTCCACTGCAACTGGCTTGGCCTGGGGTACCCTCCTCCTCTTCAGGTCCTCATCCTCTGGGACATAGTTCCACAGCCTGAGTTCCTTGTGCTTCTCGCCTTCTTCATCCTCTCTGGGCTGCTTGGCCTTGAGTTTCCCCTCTTCCTTGTCCTTGCGTCCGGTTTTCTCCTGAAGGGCCCTCAGCCTTTCCTTTCGCTGCAGGGCCTCTTCCTCCAACCTGCCCACACCGGCCGCTACCGCCACCATCTTACCTGCACCCCCTCCTCTCCCTCTTCTTTCACTTTTTAACTCAAGGAGCCAATCTGTATCCCTTGACTGAGAAATGCCATCCATTTATATTTAGTGTTAGCACTGAGATATAAGAATCAACACATGTCAATTTGCTGTTCGGTTACTGATCATATCTGTTTTCTAATGCGTTTTGTAATACAGTGTGTTTTCACGATGTTGACTTTTAATGTAGGCCTCCCTTCAGAGAAGTTCTTACAAGACTTATCAAGCATTGATGAATTCTCTGTTTTTGCTTATCTGGGAAACACTTATTTCTCCTTCACTTCTGAAGGATAGATTCACTGAATACAATATTTTTGATTGGAAAATTAAAAAAAAAATACCTTGAAGGGCCAACATTATTGCGTAGCATGTACCAACATCCCGTGTGGGTACTGGCTGCCCCATTTCTGACCATGTGCCTAGAATGCCAACAGAGGCTGACCCAAGTGCTTGGGCTCCTGTTACGTGGGAGACTTGGGTAAAACTCCTGGCTCCTAGCTTGTGCTGGTTGGGCCAGGCCATTGCAGCCATTTGGAGAGTCAACTATTGAATGAAAGATCTCTGTCTTTCCTTATTTCTCTGGAACCATCTTTTGAAATAAATAAATCTTTGATTTAAAATAAAAATCAAAACTTGGCTCTATCAGAAGTAGAGCACCTGGGACTCAAAGTGATGCCCATACGGGATACTGGTGAGGCAGGCAGAGGCTATACCTTCTAAGCAGGTGCCAGCCCCTCAGTTCTTAATGCCTTTCTCTTTCGCTTCTTCAGGAATTCCTGTAACATGAATATTTGGTTGCTTAATCATATCCTGTGTTTTGTGTGAGTTTTCTTAATTGTTTTCTCTTTGTTTTTGTCTGACTGGGCTATTTCAAAAATCATGCCCTCTGGAGCAGAAATTCTTTCCTCTGCGTGGTCCATGCTGCTGTTGAAGCTCTGTATTTAATACATATTTATTAATTGAAGTTTTGAGCTCCACAGTTTCTGTTTGGTTCTCTGAATGATTTACTCTCATTCATGTCACCTCTGGTTTTCCTCTTTGTTCAATTTCCTTGGAATCATTATTTTGAATTCTATTCCTGGCACGTTACAGGTTTCCTCAGGACACAATCTGTTTCTGAAGATCGGTTGTATTCTTTTGTGTATCACATGAAGGGCATGTGTTCGCGTGACTTCTGATCGTGCAGCCAACCATCTGAAACTGATGATTCATCAGTCAGGAACCAATGAAGGGACTTGCTGAGGGCCTCAGGGGACTGCCACAGGTACAGAGTGTCCCAAACACTGTTCTCCACCCACAGCAAGGACCCAGGAGCCACATTCAGGTGGAGAGAAGGCAGCGCAGCGGGAGGACCCCGGGAGAAGTTAATACAGTGACCGGGAAATAGATGGGCTCTTAGTGAAGAGAGAGAGAGTGGGGTGTTACTTGTTATTCCAGGTTCTTGCTGAACACAAAGATAAGGTTTCTGAGTGCTGATGGAAGTCAGATGACTTGGATTCTAAAGGTGAAAAAGCAAAGACACATGTGAGCCTGAGTCGTCCCACCCAGTGTGGTCAGAAGGAGAGGGGAGTGTGTGAGGGGAAGCGAAGCAGACACTCCAGCCCCTTCCCCAGCCTTGGTCTCCTTCGGAAGAGAAAACTTTGACCTTTCTTTTTTTTTTTTTAAGATTTATTTATTTTTATTGGAAAGGCAGATATACAGAGAGGAGGAGAGACAGAGAGGAAGGTCTTCCGTCCGATGGTTCACTCCCCAAGCGGCTGCAACAGCTGGAGCTGAGCTATCCGAAGCCAGGAGCCAGGAGCTTCTTCTGGGTCTCCCACACGGGTGCAGGGTCCCAAGGCTTTGGGCCGTCCTCGACTGCTTTCCCAGACCACAGGCAGGGAGCTGGATGGGAAGTGGAGCTGCCAGGATTAGAACCGGTGCCCATATGGCATCCTGGCGCATTCAAGGTGAGGACTTTAACCACTTCGCTATCGTGCTGGGCCTGAACTTTGACCTTTCTTAGGAGGGCAGAGAATGGTGGCTCTGCAGACAGGAGGCCACCTCCTGGGAGTGTTATACCACCATAGAATTCCCCATGGGTCTTCAGGTACATGTTCTTATGACACCTTCTCCCCAAATCCTGGGTGAAACAGGTGGATACCTGGGAGGAGGACATATTGACAGACAAGTGGGAGGTTAGATTGCACACGGGCAGGGGCTGCGACAGGCACGTCCCGCACGGCAGTTCCTTCCCCAGCTGCCTGCCTACTCCAGATAGATAGATATAGGGCGGGCCTGTCCCCGGCAGGTCGTGCCAGTGGGAATCTGAGGGCTTTCGCAGAGTTTTCTCACAGGTTCAGCCTATTGAAGTGCAGGGCGTTGGAGGGACAAGAGAAAGTTGTATTATTTAATTTATTTGTTTACTAGGTAAGCTGATATTTATTAAGTGTTTTGTGGAGATGATCTTAAAATATGAGTGATCTGGAGAAACCCTTTAAAATGTAACAAAGGCATTTGCTAAAATATCTGAAGAGTACTTTATAAAAACTCATTTATTTGAAAGGCAGAATTACAGAGATGAGGAGAAGGAGGAAGAGAAAGACAGAGAGAGACAGCAGACAGACAGACATGGCCTGGACTGGGCCAGTAGCTCAGAGCTTCTTCCAGGCCTACCACGTGGGCCCAGGGGTCCGAGCACCGGGGTCTTCTGCTGCTTTCTCGGGCACATGAATAGGGAGCTGGATCAGAAGTGGAGCCGCCAGGACTGAAGCCAGCAGGTAGAGGCTTAGCAGCCCCTGGAGAACAGTTTTTAAGAATCAAGAGTAATAGGAGGGCCCAGCATGATAGCTCAGTTGGCTAACCCTCCTATTGCTAGTGCTGGGATCCATATGGGTGCTGGTTCATATCCTGGCTGCTCCACTTCCCATCCAGCTACCTGCCTGGGAAAGCAGTGGTAGATGACCCAAAGATTTGGAACACTGCACCCACGTGGGAGACCCGAAAGAAACTCCTGGCTCCTGGCTTTGAATCAAATCAACTCTGGGCATTTTGGCCATTTAGAAAATGAACTAGTAGATGGAAGAGCTTTCTCTGTGTTTCTCCTTCTCTCTGTAAAACATGTCTTTCCAATAAAAAATAAATACATCTTTGAAAAAAAAATAATAGGAACGTGAGAGAGGGAGATGTAAGTGTATGAAAGAGACATAAACAGAAAAATGTCGGTGAGCGTGACTCAGCCGAGCTCATCCTCAGGCCCATGACATAAGTGTTAACAGATCCCTCATTGTAGACACTGGGAAGATGGAAGAAAATGAATTCCACAAATGAAGAAACACCCGGAAAAAAATCATTCTTTTCAAACTGCCTATTGTAATGTAAGTGCGTGCACAGGACTGGTAACTCTCACGGAGCAAACAGTAGCTTCTTTTAGTTGTAGGTGATTCTCAACAGTCCCGAGATGGAATGCCCCTTGTCCTGCCTCTTCCTTCAGGTCAATTTCCTCTTCTCATTTTGAGGACTTCTTTTTCCAGCTCAGGGAAAGCATTTGGTTGGGTGTGACCATCAAGGGAGAAAATGGGGAATCCCACAGAAATAAAGCTCATTGTCCTTGCTACCACAGGTCTACCAGACAGAGGGGCTGGGTGGCCTGCAGGACCACCTGGGAAGGTGTGACCCAGAGCAGGACAGCAGGTGCAGGGGCAGAGGAGGCTAGGCAGGGCAGCAGGAATAGCCTGGGCCTGGCTGGAGGACTCCAAGCTCACTGAGTGAGCCCCTCCTCACCTGGTCCCTGCCTGGGGGAGGATTAAGGCGAAGCATATCGCCCCCTAGTGTGTGGTTCCAATGGAGGTAGCCTGCCTCTGCTTTGCTTATCGAAGTCCTGCTCCTGGCTGAGCCCTGTGCTATGCCCAGGATTTGGTTAATCCCAGTCTCAGAGAGGATTTGGTTAATCCTCCCAGAGAGGAACAGTCTCTCCCCAGTGAGAAAGGTTGATTTTGTTTGTTTAATTTATTTGAGACAGAGGAGACTGGGAAGCATGTGTGAGCTCCAATCCCCTGGGTCACTCCCTGCGATGTCCGTGCCTGCCTTGACGGATGCTGGGTCAGAGCCAGAGCCAGAATCACAGTGGAGGCCTCCTGTGTGGGAGGCAGGAACGCAATTGCTTGGGTCATGTTACCTGCTGCCTCCCGCGGTCTGCATTAGCAGGAAGCTGGGACTGAGTATCAAAACCAGGTGTTTCAAGGTGTGACACAGGTATCTTTACCACCAAGTAAAGATAAAGCTTTAAAGCTTTGCAGGCATCATGATTCTTAGAAAACAAGAAATGTAGACAATACAGAGATAAGGAATTGTTCTTGGGTGATAACTAAGAAGGAAGAATATACGTTCTGGGCCTCAAGCAATTTTTTTTTTTAAGATTTATTTATTTTTATTGGAAAGGCAGATATACAGATAGGAGGAGAGGAACAGAGGAAGATCTTCTGTCTGATGATTCACTCCCCAGGTGACCACAACGGCTGGGGCTGCACTGATCCGAAACCAGGAGCCCAGATCCTCTTCTGGATTTCCTACACTGGTGCAGGGTCCCAAGGCTTTAGGCTGTCCTTGACTGCTTTCCCAGGCCACAAGCAGGGAGCTAGAAGGGAAGCAGGGCCGCCGGGATTAGAACTGGCACCCATATGGGATCCTAGCGCATGCAAGGCGAGGACTTTTAGCCATTAGGCCACTGCTCCAGGCCCTCAAGCAATCTTCTAAATAATGTATTCATGTTTGAGAAAGGAGAGTGTGAATGAGCAAGAGAGACCGTTCCCATTCGCTGCTTTACTCCCCAAATACCCACGGGTGCCAGGGCTGGGAAGAGGGTCACTGCCAGAAGCCAGGAACTCCATATAGGAACTCTCCTCCATCCTCTGGAGGGAGGAGAAGTTGTCTTTAAAGGGGCTATTAGCAATGATGGAAAGAGGAGAGAACCCCACTAATGGAAAAGCCCAGCT